GTCATCCACGAAAAGGAAAACAGTATGCGCCGCGTTAACATTAATATTATCTTAACTTGTTAAGGAAAAACAAGTTTAAAAAAATGAACTGTAAATACATTTTTTCATCAATGTAGTTCTGAGTCGGTTGAAAAATTCTCGGCATAGGAAAAATCAGCCAGATATAGGCCTTACACGGTGGGAATAAATCACATAACAAGAAGCTGAAGGCCTATCATTCTCACTTAGCGGACTTCTTCATGATTCAATTCTAGCCGGCTACGCGTAGCGAGACTCCCACCCCTGAAAAAAAAAAACGAGGGGAGGAAACGTCTGCGAAAAGGTGGTGGGCATCGATACAGATAGGCTAAATCCCGTTCACATGAATTAAAAGAAAAGGCTAGATAAATGACTAATAGCTATTAATCCGGAATTTTGGCTAAGTACATTGAAGTTTGAAATTAAAAAAGCAGAAACACAATCTAAAAAAACAGTTAGGTCCAAGCTAGAAAATGCTTTCTAATTCCTTGTTTTCCAAGCTAAAAAATGTCGGAAATGCTAAGTGTCGACCGACCATCGACGGAGTGTCGACCAATTACTGACCGATACATCGGTCAAGTATCGACCAACTATCGACCAACTATTGGCGAAGTGTCGGCGAAATGTCGGTGTAATGTCGGCGAAGTGTCGGTGAACGAAAAGCTATATCGGCCGAGACACATCTGGAACGACTATCGACCGTGTCTCGACCGAGTGTCGACCCACTATCGACCGACTATCGACCGCTATATCGATCGACTGTCGACCGAGTATCGACCGAGTGTCGACCGACTGTCGACCGACTATCGACCGAGTGTCGACCGCTATATCGACCGCTATCTCGGTCGACATTACCCACAGTAAACAAGATCCAGACACTCTTCGGTGTTGCCTGGAAACACCAAATGCTCTGTGACGTCACACACCAGATGACGTCAGGGCTTCACAGCGGTCAAACGAGTGAAATTTGCAAAAGTTAAGCGAAATACTTCAAAGTTAAGGTTGCTACTTTCACTATCGAAAGTTTAGGGTATTACCAACATCCTGTTAGTTTATTAAACTTTTTAAAAGTTTACTAAAAAAATTCTAAGTGATTGAAAACCGATGCTGACGTTATTATCGGCGCCATTTTCAAACATGATTCTCTTTTAGCGCGAAGCGTTTTCAGCGAAAAAAGCTCAAAATTTTGAGAAAAATGGAAAGATAGTTATTTTGACTACCTGATTTATACATCTTTGCCCATTTTTCTCTAACTGGTAAATGAAATCCCAGCAATAAAAAACAAAAATAACGATTTAGACGTTTGACCGCGGTGGACGTCAGGGCAGACACCATCACAATAATTATATACAAGTATACAAGTATAGATGTGCCGTCCGACTTTGCAGGTTCGCTAACACCACGCACGGTACACGCGCTTCGAAAGTGACGACATTATAAACCTCTTAAGGCGAGGTGCCTTCGGCGTCTCATTTTGCTCGAAACTAGTAGGTTTTGAGGAACAAATGTGCAGAAAAGTCTGGGGGAGATCTCAGAAAAGTTGATGAGTCATATTGAGTGCATTGACTCACATTAATTTTTAGCCGCATCAGCAAAAATTTTTAAACAGCAAAAGCAACACTAGCACTGACTGCCTTAAAATGAAAGCTGGACTTGTTGATTGGCTCACATCACAGAAGTTCTTGTTTGAAAAGTTGTACATTGCACATCTTAGCAATTTAGGAATGTTTGCGACTTCATTTGAGCGTTTGGCCGGAGAAGCGCCACGGTTAAAACTGCATCGACATTCTAGATTTTTTAAGGCTGCACGATCTCCAACCACTAACCTTCTCAAAGCATGTAAAATCAATATCATTTGAGCATGTAATACTTAAATCATGTCAAGATTTAGTGAAACAACTGCTACATGTAAAACGCTTACCATGTAGAGGAGTTCAGGTAATAAACCACGGATCGAGTCGAAGTTCGAGGATCGCAAGGCAAAATTTGTTGAGCATAGTCACTTTTTGTACATTTCAGCGGCTGTGACGACGAAGCGATGGAAAGGAGAGAAATTACAACGCAGAGACCGGCAAGTTGCGCCATTATTTCCAAGTCTGGGCGCTGCTTCGTACCGACTGCAGAGCTTTAAGTCCGTCGATACTTGAAAATCCTGTACCAGAATGACGTCCGCTTTGACGTCACGAGAACAACAAACTGCAGGAGTATACTTCCAACGGAAGGGACGAGGTGAAAAATTATTAAAAGTTGTGTCTTCTAAAGCCCTACCCGATGTCAGGCCAAACTATTCCCTATTTCTGACCACAACCCAATTTTACTCAAGGACTCTGGCCTGGTTGCCGTGGTTGGTTCAGGGACATTTGAGTTGAATTTTTCCTTGCCCTCCCCCCCCCCCCCCCCCCCCCCCCCCCCCCCCCCCCTTCCCCTTTCCCCCCGCCCCTTCACGACAAAACCACCCGCAAAGGGCAGTAATCAGGGGAAGGATAAAAAAAAAAAAAGGGAAGCTTTTTTTTTTATTTAAAGTGAAAAACGGTTTCACCTTTATATTTTAGAAAAAGAAGGGTTACAAAGAAAAAAATGGCCCAGAGAGGCAATACTATATCAAGGTGAGAAATTATA